TTTGTATATTTCGTTCAGCTTAATTAAGTTCTTGTTTTATTAAACAGGTCCATTAACGACTTATTGGGCTAAATATGAGTTTTGGGCTGAGTGATAGTCAGAAATCAGAATCATAATTGGTCGTTATTGCCGTTATTTCTTCTACACGAAAATTATATTCTATTCGCCAACGATCTATGACTTTTGACCGAAACATAGTAAACAATTTTTGAAACAAAATGCAAAAAGATCATTTAAATATCGTGTCTAAAATAATTTTCTTTTCAAGTATCAATATCACTTGACACGACCTCGACTTATGGAAAAACACTAGAAAATCATTCGTCTAATTAGAAACGAATTGAAGTTTGATGTTTGATTATTAAGTTGTCGATAGGATTTCAAGTTTGTATGTAATAGTTGACCCTTTCTTATAATCGACAAATATGTCATGTTTACTTTTCTGATAATTATGTGAAGGATATCGAACTTATGGTTCGTTTTAATGGATAAATTTGAGTAATGTCATTTACATATTTGCGTTTGATCTCTCACGTTTCCAATATTTCGATATATAGAATCATAATACGTCAGTTCGATATCCTTTTTTTTTGAATCAAGATGATTATTCTTTTTTTTTGAATTATTAAAAAAACAATATAAAATGCTTATGAAAACTAACTATTTAAATCCAAATAAGCCAAACCAAATTCTTTTTTGGGTTCTAATTCGGTTCTACTAAACGAAAAAAAATCCAAAAACCAAAAAACCCGAACCAATATGAACCATTTGGCGTGGGGATCACTTGGTGTCTCGAAAATTGGGTTCCATCACAGAAGAATAGTTAAATAATAAGCTTATATGTTTGTGTGGGGTTTTCGGCTTATTAGTACCCGCACTTTAGGGAAGTGCGAAAATATTTACTCACTTTGTCAAAGAGTGCGTATTTCTATCCAGACTCTATATAATGTACTTTTTCGTACCCACTTTGTCAAACATGATATATTTGTCGATTGGATTTCAAGTTTGTATGTAATAGTTGACCCTTTCTTATTAAGTTATAATCGACAAATATGTCATGTTTCAACTTTAAAGCGAATCCAGATTTATTGTTCTGATAAATAAGTGAAGGGTAACTAACTTATGGTTCAAAATGAATCGGTAATGGATCAATTGAGTAATGTATATTAGCGCTTGATCTCTCACGTTTCCATTTTCCGATATAGAATCCATATTACGCCCATTGCAGAGATTATTTCTTCGGCTAAGTCATTTCATATAAAATCTTATTTTGTTTAACTTGATTATATCTGATGTTTCGGTTTATTTATGTGAAAAAATGTTAAAATCATTACGCAGTAAATAAATTGATCTATATAACTTATACATTAGTGTTCTTTTTTTAACATTTTCGATTTGAAATCTTAACAATTTTGGTTATGGAGAACCTCGAAAATTCATATTTTCTGTATATTTCTATATATGCATAAAACTTATATATTATTGATAACAAAATACAAATTTGCATCTAAATATATCTTTATATACATTACACAACATACTCCCTTACTATTTTAGCCTAACATACATAACAATGATCTAAAAGCCGTTAATAAAGCCCTCCTCTATCTAAACTTTTAAATACTTTAGGGCCGGCTTATGTATATAACTTTAACGT